TCCACTGGTTTCCCATAAATTACAGCAACAATACATTAAAAAATCTCTGAGGATTCAAAGGAAGAATGAGGTAGAATAAGGAGACCAACTCATTCAGTAGGTTACGAAGAATAGAGACCGGAAAAAGGATAGACACAAAATAGTCTGTTAGAAGAAAACTAGACTTCTGATTATTTACGGTTAAGCCAAATGGCATATGAGTGATACCATATCCAAGGCAGTCAATATAAAATTAACAGTTCAGCAGTAGTGATTTCATGTTCATGTGGGATGTGACAGGCGAGAAGGTTGCGTGCTCAGCAAGGCAGAAGTGGAAGAGCTGCATAATTATCTTATCAAACAACCAACTGCCAAGCGTATTCGGCGGAAAAAACACTGATAGTAGAGAATACTAAAAAAATGAGACATGTATTGAAGTAATCATGCTAGGCACCATAAGTTTTGCCATCCTTTCGGTCCTTCTTAGACATACAATCCCGAAACAATTTCACCTTATCCTGACACTTGCGCCAATCCTTGTTTTCAGCCATGCACTCCATGATAGCGTTGTGTTCATCCAAACATCCCGTGCGCTTAATCATTTCAATAACGGGATCTTCGTCCTCATTATCGTCTGCAGGCACCAAGGGCTCATAAACATGACCACTCATTTCAAAACCACAAACCCACTATTGGACGAACTCCAACCAATCAGATCGCCAGCTAGTCATTCAATCGCACACAAAACAGAGTAAAAAATATAAACAAAATTAAGGATCTACACATTATTTTAAAAAAGGTTATGTATAATTGTTTCTATAAGACAGTGAAAAAGCTTATCAAAGAACTGGGGATGAAAAATATCGGCAGCTGATGTGTGCCGTGATGTGTCACGTCCGAATGGAATGTTGCAAATGAAAATCATTGAGCCAATATTAGCGTTCCAAGACTCCCCGATTTAATGAATAATACATTAAATTAAGTCGAATGCATGCACTTGGATGGAAGGCAGGGCGAGTTTTACATTTTTTTTCGAAAACAGGTGCGGACCGCACGGCAGAATAAATACCAGGATTACCGCTACTCATACAGGGATAGCA